ATTTAATTTTTTAAAATGCCAAAATACCCTTTCTTTCTTTTTTTTTTCTTTTTTTTTCTCTCTCTCTTTTTGTCTCCTATTAAAACCCAAAAAAGCCCAACATACGGGATATAAGAGTATGCGCCAAGGCTACAATACTAAGAGTTAAGGCAGCAGCGATGGAGCCCCAGACCCACCTCTGTCTTATTTCCCTTCTCTCCTTGTCACGTCGTGCCAGCCACTACAAGAAAAATGTTTATTAGTGGCCAGCAAATTGGTCACAAAAAGTATTGATTTTGGTCACTGAATACAACTAGTGTCCAAATATCGGTGGTCACTGGGTGGTCACTAGAAGCTCGACACAAATTCTATTTAGTGGCCAACTACAAGTATTGGTCACTATAATCCAAAGAATTAGTGATTTCCTTTGTTTGGTCACTAAAGAAAAAGCCATTAGTGACTGCAACTTTGATCACTAAAGGGTTTACAATTTGGTCACTACAACACGTATTTTGGTCACTAAAAGTTGGTCACGTGACTAAATTACTGACCTACTTAGTTGGTCACTGATGTATTTGAAAAATTCGTAACTAATTGGTTTATTTTCCCTGTTCTTTGTTGTGTACCAATATCTGAAATAACATCTAATTCTTTTTCATACATGGTGCTGCGGAAACAATTTTGATAATAAAAAAATAGTACAAAATAATTCATTGCATTCAAAAAATATCAAAATTCTTCCACCAAACTCACAAGCTATCCAAGTTTGAACAACTTCAAATCCAAGTCTAGACATACATCTCTCGCAAAAACAAACCTAGATGACTCTACAACCCAACCTAGATATGTCAACTGATCCAAAAACATAAAAATATGATTCACCACAGTTGACTGACTGCAAGCTTCTGCTCTTCTGGTGGAACCTTCAACAGCAAGCATATTATCCATCTGGTTGCAACTTCAACTCTTTTGCCAACTGTTTACCAAACTACGTGGTCCATCTGACCTGCATCACCAAGTCATGAATTAAAAAATGAAAATAAATGGCAGCAAAAATGTAAAGCAACTTACAATGAGACATTGCGGTGCAATTGTTCATAAGATTTCCGCTGTTTCTCATATGAAGAGACATTTTCATCACTGAGCTCTCCTTTAGCATTAAGGAATTTGGCATTTTCATGCTCCATTTCGCAAAGTGACTAAAAGCATCACGAAAATGCATTAATTACAATCAAAACCAGTATTCCACTATTGAAATAAAGACACATATATCATTAGCAAGAAAATAAATTAGAAGCTCTGTCCAACATAGATAAAGCATACATATGAGATCAAGATCAACATCTAACCCTCTAGACCCAGAAAGAAAGATAGAAAAGTAAAACTACCTTAAGCTAGGCCACATAACTCTTACAGGATGCTTGGATTGAAGCAGTTCTGCTGCTGCACCATAATATATGTTTGAAATGCTTTTTGTGAAGAATTTTTTATGCCTTGTTGTGATATTAAGGCCCTTAAAAAACTGTGGCAAAATGTCAGGATAGATACCATAGAATAGAAGGTAGCAAGATCTTGACGCAGATCAAACCAAAATAGTGAAATGTGAAATAATGAAACAAACCAAAGAGATTCATACCTCTTCATGAATTTCTGGCCCAGAGAGTGGAAGGTTAAGAAACATTCTTCCCTGCCGAGCAAAACTGGCAAGAATAGGCAAATTTGTCTGAGTAGAATCCCAATCCTTTAAGTGTTGTCCACTGGTAGATCCTCTAAATTAATACTCATCACTGCTTAAAATGAACATAAGACAAGATTTTAAATTTAGTCAGTGGAGAAACCAATGTTGTTAAAACTAAAACAGCAATGTATAAAGTCAGCATATATTATTGCATTTTGACTAAATATGAGACAATTTTTCAACAATTTCTATTAAAGGGAAGAGTGTCTAATTACCTCTGGATCAGACTTACCTGCAACTAAAACTGTGAATCATGCACCTTAGGATTAGAAAAAAGAAAAAGGGCATCCACCACAAAACAATCTGAACATTATGCATTGATTGATCCAATTGACGAAAAAGGGCATCCAACAAAAAATAATCAGATCAGAACATGTCTTTGGAGTTCCTCGTCATTGATGAATATACATCTTCCAGTTTCTTACAAATGGATTAAGATTGTGCCAAATACACTCCCCATAAACAAAATCAGAGTCAAGTGACGCATGCCATTTACATTGACCTAAAACCTAATCAAAAGAAATTATTCCATAAAATAATGCAATAACATCACAACTTAGAAAACCATTGAACGATATCAGTTGCATGTAACTTTCTGCAAATGCATGCCTCAAAATTAAGAATGCACATACTCCCTTTGGTCATAATGATGAGAACATTGTCAAACATGCAGAGTGCCCCTTTTACCTTGTCAAGGACAGTCCTATGAAAAGCTTTGGTTGATAAGCATGAAGCTTGGTCTTTTCTGCAATACTCCAATCAAATTGCCCAAACCCTGTACAACAAGCAACATCAAACACATATCAATCCTCAAACCCCAAGAATCAGATTCTAACTAATAAATTGATAATTGAAAAACCGGTACAACACCTTCATTTAAATTTAAGTAACCTGATGATGGTTGTTATGATGCCAGGCCACACTAAAATTTGTTATGATGGTTATTGTATTTATGACCAGTATTAATTTGATCACAAAGAAATTGGTCACTACATACCTTTTTTCTTGTAGTGAGCTCTACATGAAAACAAACAGAAAAACATACATGAGCTAATAACGGGAGGCATATCCAACAGGACCTAAACTACAGTTGGAAACAGAGAACTTGCGCTAATGCACATTGAGTAGGGTATGGATGCACAGGTGCATGGTAGTCAATATTTGGCCACAAAGAGAAAACTGTTTAAATTACGTCCATAGAGAAGTTGCTTTGAAGCCACTAACTAACGAAACAATACGTTCAAACCTACAGAGGGTTACAGGTTAAGCATGGGGAAAATTACAAAGTTCAACTGAAGCGGACCTTGTGAAGGATTATCATTTAACAACATAATGATTAAAAATTATACTTGGCGAAGTTCATACTTTTTTAAGTCGTGTTTTTATTTTGGGATCCTATGAATTTTTATTTTCTATATTTATTATCATATTTTGGGATTCTTTAAATTTTTTTAAAGTACTTTTAAGAACGTTTATACTGTATCAGCCAAACACTCAACAAAATATCAAAAGCGAAATCACTTTTAAATGTGACATCCAAACGACAAACTGCTTCTTTTTAGAAGCGTTTATGTCATAAGCGCTACTAGCATAAGAGCTATTGGCATAAGCACTTTGGGAAGAAGCACTCCCAAACGAGCTCTTAGTCACTTTGTGCCATTTGACACGTTATGGCACACCAATTACATATTATTGGTTATTTTCATGTACAAGTAGGCCAGATAATAAACCACATGCATCATAATCTTATATACATGATCACTTATCTGGGTTTAAAAATAATAATAAAATATTTTTGGAAATTTGGCCTGATTCTCCAATTGGTTTCATCCTTCCAAGTGAAGGGTGAGCTTGATGTTTTAGTTTCACTCAGACCAAACCAGAGGATGAGAGCAGTTGCTTGTGTCTAAGGGAATATGGTTGTTTTTATAGTGCACAATTGTAATGGACCGCCACTCTAGGATTTTCCTTTTGTACGGCCAAAGTGCAACCGAGCAAAGCATAGAAGGTATTCTACAGAAGGAAAAAGCAACCTTATGAAAATGGGCGGTGCATTTTGATCATGACATTACCAAATTCCAGAGTCAACTGGTTGGTTGTTAGTTGCACGTCGGCTCATTCTTGTTGTGCCCATTTTCATTTTGAGCATCAAAACCACCCAAAAAAAAAAAAAAAAAGGTTAAAGCAAAAGTTGCAGTGCAATTTCTTTCCCCATCTTACCAAAACAAACTACATTTCAAATTTTTTGTTATTTTTGTTTTGACAAATACGATATTCTGAACTATTTTCTTGGATGGGAAATGGAGTGTGAACTCGAGTGAAATGAGGCAAACAGAGGGTATTTACCAACTCACCTAACCCATGTTTAATATTTCAAACAATTTCGGTTTACTAACTTTCTTTTTCTATTTTACAAACAAGACATTTCGGGATGATCCGCTAGGCCTCCTCAGATTCTAGAATTAGCACTTGGCTACCCATAATTGGTAAGGCCCAATTGAGTTCAAACCCAGGACACATGACAGTAAAATACTAGGTAAAACATCCCACCCATGATATTTGCACAATAACTTCTGCTTAAATCACCCGATTGCATCACTCCCTTCAGGTAAATTATCTGATTTTTCTTGATTTCCAAGCATGAAATATATTCGAATAATTAAAATGCCATAAAATTTCCAATAATTTTCAAAAGATAATTACCATGGTTATTTAGATAATATCTAACAAAATCACCTTAATTTTCTCTTCTTTCAACGGCCCATATTTAGAGACCAAATTTACCAAAAAAATTATTTTGACTTGCTCCCCTTGCTAGCTTATGGTAGCAATACACTGCTGCAGTTAGATAACATATTGCGGATGTCTTGAACTGATTGGGCGTAGCCTGCATAGTGATCAAATTACCTAACAAAAGACAGAGAAAAAAAAAACTAAAGGGTTAGAATCTTAATACACAGATTTATAGAGAATCTAAGGGGTTTATAGCTTAAGTTGTTAAGAGCCACTCAAGGACTGGTGTTCGACTTCTCTCTCCCACAATGTGGTTCTATGGAAAAGAATTATAGTGAAAATCACCAAATCACTTTTGTTTATTGCTCATTATATAAAAATTATGAAGGGTTTCACGTTTATGTTATGTCTTTGATTTCCATTCAATGATAGAGAATATCTCCAAATCACTTTAAATTTATGGCTCTTGGAAAAGAGTTTTGTAAAAATCTTTGCTCCAAAATCCTAAGCCAATTAATTACACATGCAAGTACTTGAACATGACCTTCTATTTAAACCATATACCCTAATAAACAACATGTTTTTTTTAAATATTTATAAAGCTCCCAAATCCCTTCTGTTATTTGCATCTCCCACATCTCCTCTGCCATAAGAGGCCTAACTACAAAGATGGGTTTGTGCTACATGATCTTGCCTCTGCTACTCTCAATGCTGCTGCAAATAAACACTGCTGAAGAATACAAGACATATATTATCCACATGAACAACTCCCACAAACCTGCATCTTTCTTAACCCATGAGTCATGTCACAGGTCCATCCTAAAATCACTACCATCACCTCAAGCAGATCAAAATGACAGTGAAATGTTGCTGTACTCATACAACCATGTCATGCCCGGCTTCAGCACCAGGCTCACACCCTCTCAGCTGTCTGAACTGGATAAATCTTCGGCTCATGTTGCCACGCACCCGGAGTCTTTTGGACAGTTGTACACAACACATAGCCCCAAGTTTCTTGGTCTCAAACACAAACTTGGCTTATGGCCTGCTGCGTCCTACGGCGAAGGCGTGATCATAGGAGTTATTGATTCAGGAATTTGGCCAGAGAGTGAGAGAGCTTCAGTGATAAGGGAATGCCACAAGTGCCAGAAAGATGGAAAGGCAAGTGCGAAAATGGAACAGCATTCACCTCATCTCTATGCAACAAGAAGCTCATTGGGGCTCAATCCTTTAGCAAAGGGCTCAAAGCTGCAGGACAACCCATCTCGGAATATGACTATGACTCACCAAGAGACTCCTTAGGTCACGGAACCCACACATCATCAACAGCTACAGGCCATCGTGTAGTCAGTGCAAGTCATTTTGGATACGCAAAAGGCACAGCAAGAGGGGTGGCACCGCGCGCACATGTGGCCTTGCACAAGGTCTTGTAGTCAGAAGATACCATATTTAGTGCAAGCAGCGATGTGCTTGCCGGGATGGACCAGGCAATTGCTGATGGTTGATATCATATCGCTGTCGATTGGCTTGCAAAGGCTCCCTTACTATGACGATGTCATTGCCATTGCTTCGCTTTCAGCGATTGAGAAAGGTATTGTTATCGTCTGTTCTGCTGGGAATGATGGCAACTCCAATTCGATGAACAATGGAGCACCCTGGATCACAACAGTAGGAGCTGGCACGCTTGATCGTAGTCTCACTGCATCAATGACTATAGATAATAACTTGATAGTTGAAGGAACATCCTATTTCCCAGTGAGCGTTTACATTACAGATACGCCATTGTATTATGGGAAAGAAAATGTGAAGAAAGCAACATGCGACTTTGGGGCATTGGATCCTAAAGAAGTGGATGGAAAGGTTGTCTTATGTGATAACACTACGGAGTTTGATGTTGGACAGCAAAAGGAACACGTAGAGAAGGCAGGTGCTTTTGCTGGAATCTTCATGACCAATCTCTCAACTACGGTCCCAGAAGAGTTCAACATTCCTGCCATGGTTCTGTCATCTGATATATAGTGGCTTTGATTAGAGAACATGTAACAAAGGTCAGCGCAACTCAAGCTAAGAGCCTGACCTTTGTGCACACAAAGTTTGGTGCAAAACCAGCACCACAAGTGGCCCATTTCTCTTCAAGAGGACCAGACCCAATCAATCCAAGTATTCTAAAACCAGACATTATTGCTCCGGGGGTCGATGTGCTGGCTGCATTTCCACCTAACAAGAAATACATATTGTGGGAGCATATATTTTCGTCTCCAATCAGGGCACACCACGTGGAAAAGAAGATTGTCTCTTAAATTAATTAATTGAACCAGTTTATCTGGCCAATTAATTAATTTGGATAAATATCTTAATTAATGGGATATTATCTTTATTTAATGAGATAATACCATTAATTTAGATATTATCCTAATAAAGAGAAGATAATATCATTAATTCAGATATTATCTTTATAAATGGAGATAATATCATTTAATTCAGATATTATCTTCAATAAAGAGGAGATAATATCATTAAATTAGATATTATCTAAGTCCGACTCGATCCCTACGAATTTGGGTAGAGAATAAACTCAGTATATTCTCTACGAAACCTTAGCCCCGAGGCTCCTATAAATAGACTACTTCATTCATCATTCAAGGTACATCTAAACCTACTCCTAAACCCAAGAAAAATACCCGAAGTTCTCTCTCCCTCTCCACTCTCCATATTTTCTCCACACGGCTC